ATTGAATATTGAACTGTTTGGGTCTCTATAGAATCTAAAGATGCCTAAGGACCCAAGCAAATGATCCTTTCTTCTCACTGAGGGCCTCAGATTTTTCATGTATAAGTTGCACATATTGGAGTTCATGCTGCCTGGTCTCTTCATTTGAACAGTGCAGAGCTCTACGGCCCCCACTAAGAGTATGGCGATTGTCCCTTAAATACTCTGTGACCTTTATTAACTGTGACTTTATTATGGGGCTTGTTCGAAATAAAAAAGAGATGCTGGAGATAAATTCAGAAAACACATTGTTATTGGTGGTTTTTATTAAAACTGAATATAAACAGTGGGATCCAAGTCAGGCATCTTTTTCTAACTAAGACCCTCCCATCTCAGTGCAAGAAGCCATTTTGTGGGGGTTGTGGTGGTGATTAATATGCACTACTCTTGGATGCTTTAAGAGCTTACAGCGTCAGACTTGTTGACATGCACATATTCTCATTGTCAGGGAGAGTTTCAGAAGTCTAGACTGTGCCCTACTCCTCTTTCTATACCCATCATGTAAACACCTCCACATAGTAGGTGTTGAATAAATAATTTTATTAATGAATAAAAGTATGTATACACGCATACAAACATACATACATGCATGAATATTACATACAGGATTAAGGGCTTACAGGACTCGGGAGTGAGAAAAAAATACATTAAAAATACATTCCTGAAACAAAGAATAAAGCAAAACATGGAATGCTTTTGCAAAATGTTGGCAGTTTGGGGAGGGGTGTTTTTATACCACAGTGAAAGAAATTCCTCTTTGATGACAGCTTTATTTTTAAAAAGGGCATAGGTGATTTATAACAGAATGCACCAAATACTGAAGAATGTTTAAATGAATGAGTGAATGAATTAATGCATGAGTGAGTGTGATAGAAACAAAGAGCTTTCTTTGGAATTAGTAACATTATCTCTCCTTCAAATCTATTTTAAATATAAATTAAAATACACAGAAACACAAAATACACACAACAAAATGTCAGTATTACACGTGCGCGCGCACATACACACACACACACACACACACACACACTTACAATGAGAAATGCTTTCTCTTTTACTCCCAGACTGTCTGGTGGGTCTGTAAGTAACCATACCCTTAGGAATGTAGAGAGGATAGTAACTTAAGCTGGTTTGGCAGCTCCTGAGTGGGTGGTGGAGACAAGGAAGCTCTGAATGGGTCCTTTGATGGACCCAAGCATCTCCTATCTTCAAGCACCTCACTCTCATTAGCACTTGCCCTTGGGGCAGCCCTCTGCCAAAGGAAAGCAGACAGGAGTATACCTCCTGCTGGGCATTGCCACATCTCACTAGGGATTGCCGGTCTGGCTTTGTTGCTGATAAGCCACACAGCTTTGCAGCCCTCTTTCCCATTCTCACACTAGGGCCATCCTTTGCCCAGCCTCTGCCTCTTCCTTCCCAGGTTGCTGACCATCCATGTGCGTGGCTGCTTTGGGGGAGCCGTGGCCGTGGAGCTCAGGGCTCCCAACAGCTGGCCTTTCTCCATTGTGAAAGGTAAATGCTCAAACTTTTGCTCCATTCCCAGGGGACTCCCCTATTAAATTGATTTTGTATTCACTACCTGCCAACAGGACCTGTAAGCGAGCCAAGAGGAGCAGCAGATTAAGCATAATTATGAATTCTGAGTGGAAGGGAGTAGTTTGAGATTGTTTTTCATGAAAGACCTATTTTTCTTTCTACTGGAAATTCACATGAGGAAGTACTGAATGCTCCATGGAGTCTTTATGTCATGTTCTTTGCAATTAATGCTCCTTGCTCCTTGTGCTTTCATGGAACAGAGAGAAAACCTCTCAAACTTGAAAGCTGTTCTTGGAATTGGATTTTGGTTTGCTCAGGATTTGTATCTAATTTTCTAGAGAAGTATTTTAACATTTATTAACAAGAACGGGTACTAAGTGTAACCCTCAAGACATTTCCCAGGCTTAGTTGTCAATGAGCAGCTAATCCCTAAGGATTTCTGAACCAGCTCAGCTGAGTAAGGATTCAAAGGCCTCTTGCAGGCTGTTCTTGAGTGCTTAACATGTGGTCATCAGTAACAAGTCAATGGTACCATTTATCCTTTGACTCTTCCCTTCTTCATAAATGGAAAAAAAGAGAATCCCAAGTACTGAGCATAAAAATATGTGTGGTACCTGCATTCTCTATACTGACTCACTACTATAATATTTACAAAGTGCTAACTTTTCCTAATTTGATTTAAAATTATCAACACACTTCCTCATGTGTTTTCCTCATATTGCTGATATATTTTCCCTTTTTGAAATACTTTTACCTGCATATTAGGAAAGCATTGAAGGTTGCTACTGGAATAGTCTGTCCGAATAATCTGTTTATCTGTCGTAAATTACTACCATGTTATTAAAACAGTAAGATCAGAAGTTGCTTGATACCAAGTAAAAATACTGACTTTTAACAAGTCCAATAAACCTTGAAAGGGATTAATAATGATAACAACAATGAAAGCAGCTAGAAGGTACCACGTGCTTACAGTAAGTCAGACACTACACCAAACTTTTGACATTTATCATCTTTTAAAATCCTCACAAAATTATGTGTTAAATACTGTTATTATATTTACAGATAAGGAAACGGGAACTTAGAGAATGTAAATTAGTTTAATGTTATTGGGCAGTTTTTGCCTGGAGGCTAAAATTGGGACACTGACATATGTATATTCCATAGATGCTAAGGATTTTTTTTTAAATGTTTCTTAATTTCTTTCAGAGTAAGCTTTATAGAATACACAAGAAAAATCAGTCTTATTTCTTTCTAATCATCTCTTTATAAAACCCTCCTGTTTCTTATATTCTTAAAAATTATTTAAATATATTCATTGTACCTGGTTTAAAAAGCAACTAATGCATTTGGTTTAAAGAAAATCCACATGTATTACTATACTAAAAGCTACAGAGCCCCCGAATCTCGGTCGAATTAAATTTTCACTTGTTATCTAACTGAGTGCTTGGAAAAAATAAAACCTGCTTTTGTTTATAATGTTAAAGCATCCATATGGTACTCTAATATTTAGTAAGTTTTAAAAGATTCTCTTAACTGTTTACAAAATTATGTTTAACAGTTTGTCTTGTTATGTTTATCAGAATATTTAATGATGAAGCAAATGCAAGAGAAGAATAAAACACATACATTCCATTCTTATGGTATCTATAACTCTTTATAAATTCAATATCCATGGAATCATGGTTGTGTTTTTAGCCATATTAGTTGAACTACTTTTGGGGCAAGATGGATTATGTCGCTTCTTTGGTTGTTATTTGGTTGTTTAAATGACTTACAGTGTGCACACTGGTTGCCAGATGATGTGTGTAAAGCACAATTTTTGCTTCTTTCAAACTTGGTATGCCTAAAGGTTTTTGAAACATTTTCATGTCACAAAGTGCAGTGTGAGGGGCCATAGTATTTACCTAGCCTAATTATTCCCCCTCTACTTCTCACTCTTTGTTTGATCATGGTAGTGGCCATGTAGAATGACCCAAAAAGGAATCAAATAGATAGTTCTCTCGCTTTATATGTGACCTTTCTGAACTTCAAATATGTGAAGGCATTCGCAGTTTTGAAGATAATACGTGACTGAGTTAGATAATAGTTGACTAAGTCCTCCTTCATGTAATAAACCTGTAAAACTAACTGGTCATTGAATAATGACAATGTATAGTTACTAAGGGAAAAAGATGAGAAGTCAGGGAGGTAGCAGGCAACTAAGTGAGTTACACCTTTGCAGTGGCATAAAAATCAAAGAGTAAATACTTGTATTTCTTCAAATTGTAAAGGAAATATATCTGAGTAACCAAAAAATTTTGTTTGACCTATCGTAGGTTTTCTTAAAAGGTATGTTTAAAAATATGGCAACTGGGTGGGTACAGTGGTGCAAACCCGTAATTTCAGAACTTTGGGAGGCTGAAGTGGGTGGATTGCTTGAGCCCAGAAGTTCCAGATCAGCTTAGGCAACATGGCAAAACCCCATCCCCCAAAATACAAAAATTACCCCGGTGTGGCGCTGCACACCTGTAGTCTCAGCTACTTGGAAGGCTGAGGTGGGAGGGTTGCTGGAGCCCAGGAGGTTGAGCCAGCAAGTCTCAGCAGTCAGCTGAGATTGCATTACTGCATTCCAGCCTCGGCTACACAGTGAGACCCTGTCTCAAAAACAAACAAACAAACAAACAAACAAAATATGGCCACTGGAAAAACTTACACGAGGTGTTGTTGGAACTCATATTTCCCTTTGCTTCACAGAATCTGCTTGCTTTGTACTCCCCTTTGTGTAGGTGGAAGAAAATGTCATCTGTTCTTCGTACCCCATATATTCCTTCTCCTCTTCCCCTCACCCTGTGGTCCTTTGATCAAAGATCCAATTTGATGAGCATTCTTTAGGTGCCAGGTGCCGGCTGGGAAGTTTTGACATAAAACTCAGAATGTGGAAGCCTGAACCCTTGCCAGGATCCCCAGGGGAAACTAAGACGGGAGCTCTCTGAGAGTCCTTTTTTGACCTGATTTATTCACTGAACGCCATGTGTGATTCCCAAAGTAGACAATAAATTGATTGATGACATCGATGCTGTAAATAAATTGGATTTGCTGTGAAGATTTTCAATGAATTTCTAGAGCTACTGAATAATGAAAGTTAGTGTCTACTGAGCACTGGTAATACAGGTAAGCACTTCTGATTTTACTTCTCCTTTTATTTTATTAATGACCTAATAATTTAGATACTATCATGACTAGTATTTCTCAGATGAGGTAACAAAGGGATAGTATTAGGTTGGTGCAAAAGTAATTGTGGTTTTTGCCATGGCAAAGACCACAATTACTTTTGCATTAACCTAATGGGATTCAGAGCCAATAGTATAGTATGTGTGTGCATCTCTGTGTGTGTATGAATCAATCTATCTATAGAGACCAAGAGAGATGGAGAGAAGAGAGGAGAGAGAGATTCATTTATTTGTAAGAAATTTGTTCACATGATATGAAAGCCGAGATGTCCTCTAATCTGCCATACGTCACCTGGAGGAGAGCTGATGTTGTAGTTCCAGTCTGAGTTCGAAGGCTGGAGAACCAGGAGAGCCAACAGTGTATATTCCAGTCTAAGTTTAGAAGAAGATGGATGTGCCAGCTCAAAAAACAGTCTAGCAGAGAGAGAGAGGATTCTCTTTACCCTGCCTTTTGTTCTATTCCGGCATCCAATAAGTAAGGTGAGGCTCGCCTATGTTGGAGAGTGCAATCTACTTTACTTAGTCTATTGATTTACATGTTAATCTCATCCAAAACCACCCTCACAGACACAACCAGAATAATGTTTTTCCAAATATCTGAGTACCCTGTGACCATCAAGTTGACATGTAAAGTTAACCATTACCTTGGGATTACAAAGCTCAAAAAATATATTGTACTCGGTCTCTCAGCCAATGGGATGAAAATAACAGAAGAACAATATTAAACTAAGTTATGCCAAATTATGGATTGTTCAAAGTTTAACCAAGCAATTGATGAGGGAGATGAGGTAATAGCAAATACGTTGAATTTGTTGTTGTTGTTCTGATAGGGTGTGTGTGGGGAGTCAGGGAGACCTACATAACAAGCAACAGCAAGAATGTTTAGTCTATGTGATAATTAGTATATTGGAGTCACATTGACATATTTCTATTAACTATGGAAAGACATTTTTATTAACTATAGAAAGATTTTTGAGCCCTGCTTATGGGTTTTCATGCTTTCTTTCAAGGGCTGTAAACAGAGACTCAAGACTACTTGCTTGTTTGTTAAAATACTATCTAGTAATCAGGCTCAGCTGCCAATCCCAAGTAAGAATTACTACCATGTAGCATCAGAAGTAGAAGCCCAGAGACCTTGGCCTCCTGCGTCAACTATGAGTTTGGAGTTGTCAAGGAGCACTCAACATACAAGGCACTAGCTGGAACAATGTTTTACTCATAGAAAGGGAGGAACAGCAAAATCAGTTGTGTGGTGTATGCCGCTCTCCTACAGCTACTGGGTTCATCCCAGTAGCTGATGCAGAGTGATGGACTGCATACACCCCTCTCATGCTGCAGCGCAGACACCCTGTTTTCTTCCTATGGGGGCAGTAGCCAGGTATCATACAATGCATATGCCAAAGTGATACAAGAAAGTTTACTGTACACCCAGAAGGAAGAAAAGATTTCTCCTAACAAGGAGGAATAATCTGCTGCCAAGTTGTCTCTTGACACCCAGCTTCAATTATAAGGGAGTGTTCTATGTCCAGGGCACTGATTGAGCAATCCTCAAGAGCAGGGACAGGTCATGCAACAAGTCCCCAACAAAGACTGAATGAAGAACTCCTCCCCAGATGGAATATCTCACCCTGTTGCTTCTTCTTCCCAGATTAAGTCCTGTGGTCATGACCTCTATGGGGCATGGTGGTTGCCTGGCAGGGCTCAGGCATCATGCATCCTGCTTTTCTTCATGGAAGGTATAAAGGACTTATGATGTGAGTTGTCCTCTTCTTCCGGTTACTCAGAGGTATTTCCTTCAAGTTAGCAGAAGTAGAGAAAGGGGAGATCTTTTTCTTACTGCTCTAGAATGAGGGAATGTGAAGTCTAAGAATGATCAGCTGGAGGTGGAAAGAGAACTGATCCCTGTTTCTCAGAGAAAGAACTGTCATCAGAGCTTCCTTCTATACAGGCCCAGAATCTTAGTCACAAAAATAAGGCAATAAAACACAGGCAAATCATGTAATTATAAATTATAAATTAAAAAAAATTAAATTATATAATTATACAACAGAAATTAAAACTTAGAAATAAAATTACATACTTAAAGCTGAAAATGAAAAATGAAGTAGCAACATCTAGGAGACAAGAAGAATGTTTAAATGGGATTCCATGCTAATGAGTAAATACTACAAAGCAAAAAAAAAAAAAAAAAAGATGAAAGAAATGAATAAACAGAAAGACAGCCATAAAATAGTGCTATGGCCTAAATTGTGTCCCCCATCCCCAAATATGTATGTTGAAACCCTAACCCCTTATGTGATGGTCTTTTTAGATGGGGCCTTTAGGAGGTAAATAGGTTTAGAAAAGGACATGTGGGAGGGCTTCCTAATGGGATAATTAGTGCCCTTATAAGAAGACACACCTGGCCGGGCATGGTGGCTCATGCCTGTAATCAGCACTTTGGGAGGCCGAGGCAGGTGGATCATCTGAGGTCAGGAGTTTGAAACTAGCTTTGCCAATATGGTGAAACCACGTCTGTACTAAAAATACAAAAAAACTTTAGCCACGCCTAATGTCACACACCTGTAGTCCCAGCTACTTGGGAGACTGAGGCAGGAGAGTCGCTTGAAACCAGGAGGCAGAGGTTGCAGTGAGCCTGGATGGTGCTATTGCATCCAGTGTAGGCAACAGAGCGAGATCCTTGTCTCATAAAAAAGGAGAAAGACAGACCAGAGAGCTTGCTATCTCTGTTTCTCTCTTTCCTCAACATGTGAAGACTTACTGAGCAGGCAGCTGTCTGCAAGCCAGCAAAAGAGCCCTCACTAGAAGCCAACCACACTAGCACTCTGATTTCAGACTTCCAGGTTCTAGAACCACGGGAAATAATTTCCATTGTTTAAGCCATCCAGTCTATGGTATTGGGTTGTAGCAGCCTGAACTAATTAATCCAAACAAGTAGCTTAAAGAAGCAAAATAAAGGTTACAAATCCTTTTTTTTTCAATTAAAAAATATCAACTAGAATATCAAAAAGAATAATAAAGCATGAGGGGCCAAAATGATACTAAATTTAATATAATATAGAATGAGACAATTGGAAAACACAAATGCTTTGAAAACACAGCAATAAAGAGAAGAATGAAAGGGAATAAATAAAGAAAAACTCTTCAAGAAAAAACAATAGTACAAAGACAAAGGTTGAACTCCATAATGAGGCCAGCAGGTCACTGGCTGGCCAGGGCCTCAGAGGTCCAATGTGCTCCTGCTGGAGGGTACTGGGCCTCCCTGAACCTAGAGCAGTTCTTCAGGTGAAGCATTGACTGACAGCAGATCTTTGGACTTAACTCTTCAACTCCTGCTGGTGATTTAGTCCCTGGTGAGATCACACATCTCTCACTCCTCATGGCAGTGTTCTATCAGCTGCAAGGACTCCCAGCTTGTGAGTCCACCTAGACCGCAAAGCTATAGAAAAGCTAACATCCCACAGTCAGGCCGAATTTGGACTCAGTCCTCTACTTTCTATCTGCCCACTCTTTTCCTTTCCTTTATTCATTAAAAAACACTTACTTAGGACCTGAAATGATGTATTGGTGGCCATTCTAGATGTTGGGTGCACAAAAGGAACCTGAAAACTGCACTCTTAGAGTTTACAATTAAGTAGGTAGGTGAAGAGAAAGGCAAAAAGAAAAAAAAGACTCAACTGAAAAAATTCATATTTTCTTTTCTTTTCTTTTTTTATTTTTGAGACAGTCTCACTCTGTCACCCAGGCTAGAATGCAATGGCACAATCTTGGCTCACTGCAACGTCTGCCTCCCAGGTTCAGGCAATTCTCCTGCCTCAGCCTCCTGAGTAACTGGGATTACAGGCGTGTGCCACCACGCCCAGCTAGTTTTTGTATTTTTCATAGAGATGAGGTTTCACCATGTTGGTCAGGCTGACCTCAGACTCCTGACCTTGTGATCCACCTGCCTCAGCCTCCCAAAGTGCTGGGATTACAGGCATGAGCCACCGTGCCTGGCCAAATACATACTTTGTAAAGTCAACTGCTGTAAAGCAAACAAACAACATGCTGAGACCAAATAGAAAGGGAGCTCTATTTTCAGATAGAATGAACATGGAAGACCTTAAGAGATCTACACTGAGACTAGAAGTATGAGAAGAAACCAGAAGTATCTGCAAAAAGGAGTGAATAGCACACCAAATCTGTACGTCAGAAAGAGTTTCAAGTGTTACTGGGACCCCTTAAATGAGCCTGTGAGTGTAACACAGGACAAGAAGAGTGGCCAAAGAGGGAACCATGGTCTCTCCAGTGGTGTGTGGTCCTTGGGCAAACAGTATAACTGTTCTGTGCCTGGATTTCCTTGTCTACTCATAAAATGTATTTGACAATACCTTCCCCAGAGACCACGCATAATAGTTAAAGGAGATGCAGTATATAGAAGACACTTAAGTCTTGGAATTTCTTTCTTCAGGTTCCATCTGGGAGAGGCAATTTTTCTTCCAGAATCAAAGATATGTTTGGCCTCTTGAGAATATGATCTACTGGAAATTTAAAATAATTGCTTTTTTTTTTTTTTTTTTGCTTTCAACAGATTCAAAAATTACATCCAGTGTATGGGCCTGATAATGCGCCCATCTAAACTCAGTGTGAAGATAGTTTAAGACACCAGATTAATTATTTTTCAGTTGAGTGTTTTTCATAATGTAGTCAGCTTTTGAGGCAAAGACTCAGCCATAAATCTTAAAATCAGCTGGGGAATTAATTTAAAAACTAAACACACTATGGTGAATTACAAGCAAGTGAATGATTACTATGTAGAAAGACGCAACTGAGCCAGTGGGTGCCTATTTATATGGTGACTTGTACTGAGTGACCTCTGCAGGTTAGCATCTTGGTCAGAGAGGAAGTTGGTAGTATGTATTTCCTTAATTTTGTGTTTTAACTTTCCCTGTCAAAAGCTTATGCTTGAGAAGTTGTTTCCAAATTGAAACTGAATTTACGAGCTGTAGGATTTTACAGCATTCAGTGACACTGAGAAGAGTTAAGGAATTAACACTTCAGAATCTGAAAATGCAGAGATTAGAAAAATGGTCAGAACTGAAGCATGTTGATGACTCAGTCACTCGCTCCATTTCCTACACATACTCCCTCATCCACCTTTGCTAACTCAAGTCCTCTTCCCTTCCACAACTTGCTGCTTCCTATCTCAAAAGCATGGCACTTATATTTTCTCCTGTGAAGGGTGATCCAATAACACAGAATGCTCTAGAAATAAGCAGTGGTTTTATTTCCTTCCGATGAAGATACCCAGTGAAGAAATGCATGGCTAGTAGTGCATTTATATTTGTCTGTTTCACCTGGGAGGAAATAATGTAATAGGTCAATTTTTAAATCTAGATTCCAGGACTAAAAATGGAGAAAGGGCAAGAGAGAGGGATGAGGCCACTGCCCATTTCTTTTGAAGCCTTAATACTTTTCCTTATGGGATCTAGAGTTGGAAGAGACCTTGTTTCCATTAAGAAACAAATAAGAACAGCCTTCATGGTTCCAAGTTCTTATAAAAGTCTATAAGCTTTGCAGAAGAAATGATGCGTGAAGCCATATGAGAGATGATAATCTGAGTAGTGTCTGTAATTTCCCAATACTCTGACAGTAGTTTGTTAGAAACTGAAATTCTGAATTTAGATTTTGTCTGCAAAGGTTTTTGTTAAAATGCATTCAGGTACCCAGAACAAAGTATTTTCACCCTGGCTCCTGATTAGATTTGCAGTGGAGGGAATGTGGCAATGCACTGTGAAAGGGAGCACAGCCCTGGCAGTATGGTCTTTCTTCAGGCCCCGTGCCTATCATTTGCTGGTTGTGTGACTTGTGCAATTTATTCACCGTTTGGAGTCTTACTTCCCTCTGTTATAAGATCGTGAAAAGTCCTTAGCCCACAGGTTTAAATCAAATTAAATGAGTTGATATATGAAAAGAACTTGGCATTGTATCTAGAGTATAGTTCACACTTCAAAAATTTTAGCTATGATTAGTTGCTTATCAGATTTAACGAGCTGAAAGAATGAGTTTGGAAAAGAAAGATTTAATCAAGGGAGGAAAGGGAGGGAGTTACTGAATGAGGAAATGGGTGAGAACTGGAGTGGCCTCTGGAGGGATTCAAGGTGAGCATGACGGACTTCTGTAATCAGCTGGGGAACTTGGCCTCTAGACAGAAAAGATGGAATAAAAGTCAAGAGACAAAGACTTTTATTTCACAATCAAACACTCCCGTCTGATGGAAAGTGAAAGCTAAATAAGGCATTTTACAAAAGTTAATTCTGTGACTCCTCACTATAACCTTATGAGGTAGGTATGAGTTCCATGTACAGATGAAGAAACTAAGGCACAGAGAGGTTAAGCGACTTGCCCAGGGACATACAGCTGGTGAGTAGCAGAGTTTGGGTTTAAATCCAGGCTCCCGAGTCAATAATGGTAAATATTAGATTAAGCTGCATTTTACAACAATCTTTATGAAGCCTGGCTCTGAATATTTAGAAGTGGAGTGGGAGATCTTAAAACTTACATTGTTCAGTTGTATTCCCTCCTTCCTTTCCGGATGCCCACGTTTTTGAGGGCTTTCTTGTTGTGTCAGTGTTTTAACCTCATGAGTCAACCAATTCCATTTGATCTGAAACTTCAGTGTGTTTTCACACTTAGGTATTTTCCAGTTTTATGTTCCTGGAGATCTGGCAACCAATATAATTTTATTTCAGAGCCCATATAAATTTATTGAAATTAGTGTGCATTTTCTACTAAAATCGACAATACAGTATTTTCTTCTTTGACTACTTGCTATCTGTGTGGTTAAAGTAGTGGCAGTGATCAAAATCTGCAATTCATTTTTCAAAGACAATATTTTTTTGTTATAAATTTGCATTACCTCATGCGATTTAGAAAATGGTAGTCATTCTAACTGGCCTTATCACCGTAAAAGCGTAGGTACATTTCTTCTTTTTTTTTTTTTTCTTTATGCATGTGCTCTGAAATACTTTTTCCCATAAGGAGTGAATTTGTTACCTTTTTGTGACATAAACATTCAAAATTATAATGCAGCTGTTTATGGACTTTTAAAAACATTGCCAGTGTAGATGCTGTAAGCCTATTAAAAGTCATTGATAAACGTAATATGGTTCCTATAAATCTGAGTGAAAGTCGCAGCTGTGAAGTCCCAACTTCTTTTTACTCAACTGGGTAAAGCTGAAAGAGACAATAATTTTATTTTAATTGCAAATATATACATGTATTCTTTTGTGTGCCTTTTTACTCAAGTGAATTGACAGCATCAGGAGCCAAAACCACTTCTTTCTCTCCCAGACAAACTGGGATAAGCATTTAGGTTGCAGCACTGATGAGTTGCTATCTGAGCTGAAGGCATCAGTTTTAAGATGATAATTCCCTTTTGGATTGTGGCTTATTTTTAGAGTGCTCAACTGTACATTTTGATGTACATTCTGATTTATAGGAATACCTAGTTAATTCTAGTTGTGATTTTAGCTTTATTTGCATTCATTTTCATATTTTAGTAACATTTCATTTATATCCTATTGACTCAAAAGTGAAAGGAAATACTTAATTCCTGGTAACTGTTTGTCTAACCTACCGAAAGAATGCCTGAATGACTTAAACATCTAAAAAGAAGGTCTAGGTGGCTAAGGAAGAATTTATATTTTCTATTTTTCTTCTGCAGCACAGAAGGATGATTTTTAAAATCCTTTTAGGGAAACTTGGAAAAAGAGAAGCACAGAATACATTTTCTTTTTTTATTCCCCTTGTTCTTTCTTTTTGGGGAAGTCCATTTGATTATTTTGGTGAAACAAAAGTAGTTG